AGAAGAAGAAGAAGAAGAAGAAGAAGAAGAAGAAGAAGAAGAAGAAGAAGAAGAAGAAGAAGAAGAAGAAGAAGAATCATTGATTATTATTATCATATATGTATACTTACATCACAGAGCCCAGACAATGACCAGCAGAAATAGGAGTGACGTTGATTATGTAATCATCCTGTACAACAAAGAAAAAAACCTTTTAGTATCAAATTTCAAAGCTGAATGAAATATCATAAAGGGCCATAATGTGAAAAATTGAAACTGCAGTGACACGTGTAATGCTGGGATGATGACCCGCTGAAAAAAAGCCCAGCCGTGATGAGTCATTTTGTTGTTGTTCTTGTTTGAGGCAACCTTCGTGACTCTTTGTGACTCAGTTTGTGATATACCTGGCTCTGCTTTGGATCCCAGGAACAAAGAGTAGCGCTAGCTTTAGTGGTCAGTTACCTGTAATTTTACCTGGTTTGTGAATACTACTATGTCTAAAAGGAAAAGATTTTTTAGAACAGAAAAAGTGTCGCTCAGTGAAAACCTGCATTCAGTTTTACGAAATGCGTCTAATGCTTAGAAGCAGTATGCAGAATACAGCCTATGACGAATGGCGTTCGTTATCATGGGGTTCTCGTGCTTCGCAAGGCATGACGAACGCTGTACGTCACAGTAGCATCTTGGCTCCTTTGCCATAAAAGGGAAAATGATGAACGGCATATATGTCATATAGGTCACAAAAGGGTTGGAGAAAAAAAAAAGAAGCTCTATCACTGTTTAGAATTTATTCAGCAGGTCATCACCCCAGCATAACATGTGCCACTGCAGTTTCTTTTTTTTATGGAATAACCTTAAACAATGTATTTCTCATATTTTGAGAGAAATACTTCAACATTTCAACATGCATGATAAAGAAGAGATCGATAGTTAATTGTATAGAATAGGTCATGTGCAAAAGTGTATTTGAAAAAAGACAGACTGTGTGTAGCAAAATTTTCAAAGGACCCTTTTTTATTTTTTCTAATAAATTTGACCAAAAATAAATTAGAAAAAATGAAAAAGTAGCTTCCACAAGCACTGGCCAGTATATTGAAAGAAACAACAATAGTAGATGTATTAACAAAAAAATATTGGTTCGAATAATACATATATTTTTTTAATGCAGTAAATATATGCCAAATGATGCTTTGAATACGCACAATCATAATATGCAACAACCAAAGAATCAACTTGTAAAAATGGTAAAATTCATTTGAACAACACTGAATAATTAATTCATATTTACTAGCTCAAGCTCCAAAACTTTAGAATACATTGAAAGGAGTCCAAATACTAGAAAAAAAATTGGTAGAAATAGATTTCAACTTCACATACCTCTGAAGAATTTATACCTTGAACAGTTACTGGCTGTGAAAATCCAACTTGCAGAACTTGCTGGTGATGAAAACAGACACGAGAGAACTTTTAAGTTGTGACATTCTTCATTAAGAGTAGGGAAATTTTCACAGCACATATTCCTCAGGCCAGGACAAGTATAAAACATTAATTTGATTCATTCACAGACTCAAAAGCACTCAATAGCTTTACATGCAAATATAAAACTAATGTGCCTTTTAAAATCACCCAATTTTCAAATACAATTATACAATTTATGAAATATTTCCAAATGGGTGAAAACAAAAAGTTGTGCAATCATCCATATATACCGTCAAGAATAGGCAAGTTACATACATGCATTAATCTCTAATATTCGAGAGCGTATCTAAATTATTTGTTACCTACAAGTTATTTATCTGCAACACCTGAGGTTCTTATTTGGATAAAAAATTATTCTATATTTTTGTTCCCCAAATTTCACAAGAAAATAGAACACAAATATAGAATTACATGTATTACGTAGAAGATGAAAAGACAATAAGGCAGTAATCTGAACAAGCAAAGACAAAAGCCAGCCATTACATAATGTTTGTTCTAATCAGATTTGCTGCCTTGCAATAAGTCATTCAAAGAGCTTGACTAACTGTATACAAGACATGTTAAATTGCAGCATCATACTTACAATATAATTTTTCAGACATCTGAATTCTTCATCTGCTAACAAAAGCAGTTTTGTAACTTCTGTGCAGTAAAGGAAAATGTTCTTTCTGAAAGAATAATAAAACATGTGCTTCTATAAGACCATAATAAGATTAATTTTTAAAAACATTTTATTATAAATAGTAATATCATCTGACTAAAAACTTGAATGAACAGCATAATCAAACAAAGACAAAATTTGTATGAATGAGTGTTGAAAATTTCCTAGCAAACTTTGCATTATAAAATCCTATAATTGGATGAAAGAAAAAGAAAACGGCACAATCTACATTGTCAATTTAATTTATTAAATTTTAATTTTTCTAAAGTAGGCAAACAGAAAACCCATTATTCAAAGAATTCTTTTAGATTGTACTACACACAAAGACAGAACATGGGAAGTAGAAGTTCATAAAAAAAAAATATTCTTCTTTGTTCCAGTTTCCTACTTAGTCTATCACTTTTTTGTTGTTAGAGTCTGAAGTTTTATGAACTTCATATAACAAGATTTTTAAATTAAAAAATATACAGCAGATTACACATTCGCCTAGATGTAAAACTGAATGCAAAAACAACTAGAAATTCAAATTGCTCTAAAAGTATTTAAATTGGATTTTGAAATTCCTGAGCTCAGCACTGTCAAGTTACTATGAAAATGTCGAAATCATAACAATACCTGGATGACAATCGATCCAAAAATGCTGGGTTTGAAAGTCCAACCATGTGATCTGATCAAGATATAAATAACCAGACAAAAGGAGAAAATAATGATGGATTCTCTTCCTCATTTATTTATAATGAGCTCAATATTAAGGGTTATACTGATATCAATATTAAGGGTTTTAAAAAGAAAGTTATTTAAGATCAGTGAGCATAATAAAGAAATGAAAAAAAAATTAATTGAAATATCAATCAATCAATCAATGCCTTTCACCCATGGCAGGGTATAGGCCACACAAGCTCGTTCCATTTATCTCTGTCCTGAGCCATCCTTCCAAGCTCGTTCCAAGTGAGCTTCATTTCTCTCATGTCCCTTTCCACGCATCTCCTCTATGTTTCCCATGGCCTACCCCTGCCTCGTGCTCCTTGTGGGTTCCACTGCAGTGACTGTCTTGTGATGTTTCCGCTGGGCTTTCTTAAGGTGTGTCCCATCTATCGCCACTTTCTTAGTCCTATTTCTACTTCTATATCCTTTTGTCCTGTCCTTTCCCACAGCTCTTCATTTTTTATTCTATCCTGCCACCCAATTCTTAGAATACTCCTCATACATCTGTTGATGAAAGTCTGGACTTTATTCAGTACTGTCTTCGTTGTCTTCCAAGTTTCGCAGCCATAGAGGAGCACAGACTTGACGTTGGAGTTAAAAAGTCGAATCTTGGTGCGCAGTGAGATGTTGCTTGCTTTCCAGACTTTTGATAATTGCTTGAAGGCTGACCTTGCCTTGGCGGTTCTTGCTTAACATCTGCCTCAGTTCCACCTTTACCATCGATGACACTTCCAAGGTAGGTAAAGGAGTCCACTTCTTCCAGGGGAGTGTCTTCCACTGTCACAGCAAGGTTTGAAACTTTTCCTAGCTTCACTACTTTTGACTTGCCTGGATGTATACGTAGGCCAACACTCCTTGATAGGCTGTTGAATTCCTTGGTCTTTTCTTGCATCTGAGCATGTGTGTGAGAGAGCAGTGCAAGATCATCGGCGAAGTCCAAATCGTCCAGCTGCTGCCAAGGGATCCATTGTATTCCATTACGTTTGCCTCTGGTGGCTTCTTTCATGACCCAGTCAATTGCCAGTATGAAGAGAAAAGGGGACAGCAAGCATCCTTGTCGCACTCCTGTCTGTACCCGGAATGGTTCTGAGAGCTGTCCTTCGTGTAAGACTTGGCAGCTTGTTCCATCATAGGTGGCCTTCACAAGCTTAACGATTTTCTCAGGTATTCCAAAATGCCGCATGAGTTTCCACAGAGTTTTCCACAGAGTTTTGAAATATATACTGCTTTTATTCTACAACTTTTCATTTATTCTTTGCAGAGATTTTATACTGCAAACCTTGCATATAACTACATAATACTTTAAAAAGTAGAAAGAATCCTATATTAATCTTTTCAGCAAGATCGATAACATTTCTTGTTTTAAGAAACAACATTTTAATTGACATCTTCCTTTTCCTACTCCCCTCACTCTCACCTGTCTCTCTCTCTCTCTATCTCTCTCCCCTGTCTCTCTCTCTCTCTTTCTTTCTCTCTCTCTCCATCCCCCTCCCTCTCTCTCTCTCACTCAACACCCCTCTCTCTCTCTCTCTCTCCCTCTCTCTCTCTCTCTCATACACACAAACACAACAAAATATTATGAGCACCACATCCCAACACTGTCAAGTGATAACTTTGCCCAGAATTAAGTGGAAATGCCAGCAGAATAGAGGATAGCACCAGCTGTCCTTCCGTGAGCACCAAAACACCGACATAATGTGAAACTTGAAAGTATTGATCGTTTTAGTAATTGATCACGATGGAAATGAAATTGATATTGCAAGAGAATAAACCACGAGAGATTGCTCGTTTCTTATTTATATATAAGTTAAGTTTAAGAATTAAAGGCAGTCAATGCTAGTCCCATATATTTGCAATGGCATCAAGGAAAAGAAGAAAGTTCTCATTCTTACATTCTTAACTAAACTGTATTTTACTGTGAAGTAAGAAAAGGGCAGAAAAAGAAAACAACAATAACAATTATTTGTTAAGAGCACCGCACTGCAGCTTGATGTATTTGTAATATTCTCAGAGCATTACTGGGCTATCTTTATGTTTGTCAGATATCACCCTGAATAAAATCTTAAAATCAGTGAAATTGAAGGTCAAACACAGAGAATTTGTTGGATGTGAAGTCCACTTTCTAGATATTTCCAACAGTAAAATTAGTAAAACAAAGTTCTTTTGCCGAGTTGATGATATTCATTTCATTACTGAATTAAAAGGGGAAATAAATTTATTCGTACCTTTGTGGCAATGTGATAAGAAAAATGCTGTGCAGCGAAGATTTCCACCATCAAAACGATCAATGGCTATTTCACGATACTCGTGCATTTGACCTCTGAAGCAACTCATTTTGCTGTCAATGAGCACACGTCTTCAAATGCCAGATATATATCATGAAGAATATGCTGTCTCTTCTGCAGGTATGAACTATGACATGCCCGCTGTTGAAAAATTACATCGGAGGAAAAGAAATTAGAATGATAGAAATTTTACATCAACCACAGCTGGAGGAACAAGCCCTAAAAGTCACCTGAGTAGGGTGTGAGAAACGAAAAATGTTTTTGTTGCTCAAGTAAATTAACAAACTTTTCAATACTGACTTGGGTAAAAGTTAAAGTAACACAAAAGTAGCACACGTACATATGTGCAAGCTCTGTCAGTGCTTATGTTACACTTTCCAAAGTATGGGCTCTAAATCAACATAGAAGTGTGAATATTACATTTATAAAGGAATTGCAAAAAGCAATGGAATTTGTCTTGATTCTGAATAGTAGGACTGAGGATCGAATCGAGGGGTCTTTCTTTCATTTGAAATGTTGAACAATAACTTTCATAAGTTCTAAAATCTTTATGAAATGTCCATGAAATGATAATAGTTCGAGGATCACAAGTCAGTTTCATTCCTTTTACATTACTCACTGAGAGGCAATGAAATTAAAGTAACATAATTACAAAATAAGTAGGGTGAGTAGAATAAAAAGAAACGAATCAATGGGAATAAAATAATTGTGATGAATAAAAAATGCACACTTAATTGTAAGGAAGTAGATTTATAAAAACCAGTTGCTAACTGAAATGTATTCTAAACATGAAAATCATACAAAAGTCATTGATTTAACAATTCTTTGACTATTAACATACATTTAAAGTATCACTAGACTACACTTTTGTGATAACTACAATATGGTGTTTCTAACCCATGTTCTGTTCCAACTTAACTAAGGATCAAGGTCATGATCAAGCTTATGTGAGGCAGCATGGTGAAATCAGGCACTCCCCAAAATAAAGAGATCGGAGAAACAGGCATCTTTCGGCCAGTTTGGAAATTTTTATCCAATTTTTATTTTGGTAAATTTTTACTAATGCACCCACACATAGATGCATTGATTTGAGGGCTAAACTGCCATAATTTTCGCTGTAGAGTAGAACACACATATGGCCACTAAAACCCTGGTTAAATTTACTATTTTCAAAGATCAATAACTCAATAACTATTGATTTGCGGCAAAAATTAAGGCTATATTCGTGTTCAGCATGCAAAATACTACTAGAAAAGAAGTATTTATATATATATAAAACATGAACATGAGATGGGTGACGGGTGTATAAGTAAAAAAAACAACTTTATTTTTTGGTTTAATCTCTTTTATATGGGCAAATATAAAAACAAATTTCGGAGTGAATTTAATGAAAAACATTGATTAAAGGCATAAAATATTTCATTATTCAGTCTTCAAAGACTCTTTAGCTATCACAGTTACCAAACTTTGACAGCCATTTTCTCACTAAATTTCCCCACAGAAACCTGGCGTTCTCGAGATCGCTTTCTTCAATGGCAAATATCTTGAGTTCTATTCAAGATAAATGGATCTTTCACGGGGAAGCAAGGCAAATAAATCAGCTTTCAGATGAACCAATTACTCCACATGCCCAAAAATTGACGAGCGTCATGACACATGTATAACCTAGATGATACTATCAGGAGGGAGTTTAAAAAATGGGAGTGTATACAGACCCAGTAACCAGGAATAAAGTCACAAAGTATACAGACCCGGTAGGGGAACTCTTTTGTGATTTCGGAAAGTTTCAGCACCCTCTTGGCTCAGGGTAGAACTAGGTTCTTCTAGATCTATGGCCTAGGTCTAGATCTAGACAGACATATATATATATATAAATCATTGATCTAGTTTCGAGGCTAGCCTAGATCTAGATCTAAATCTAAATGAAGATTGCGGATGTCTTTTCGATGAACGATCGTTTTTCCCCCGTTTTGAAGTTGGAGGAATCACAATTTGAAGAAAAGAACATGTCATAATTTCAATCAAGCAGTCACCCTCTCTCTCTCTCTCTCTCTAACTCACACACACACACACCCTCACCCATACTACCGGGTCTGGGCGCTGAAACTTTCCGAAATCACAAAAGAGTTCCCCTACCGGGTCTGTATACTTCATGACTTTGTTCCCGGTTACCGGGTCTGAATATACTTCGTTGAAAAATATATTCCTGCACTTCCTTACCTTTAAATCACTCCATTTGAACAAAGAAAGAAGCACCATGTGCTTATCTTGAAACTGAGAACTTGGACTTGGGACCTTGGTACTTTGTACTTTGTAAAATCGGCTAATCCAAATCCAAAACCAAAAGCAGGCTCAGGATCCACAAATATAGGTTTTCATGATGCACAAAATCATTAAATGATTCCAAACTGTGCTACATAGATCTATATTCCCGCTAGGAGAAAAAATTGTAACTTGCCTACACTTTTCAAACGTGAAACGAACTGAGACAGGTCTCCACTGTGCTGTCTCCAGCAGGATCAGATCTCAGACTCAGGAAAACAGGAAACGATCTTACTCAGATTTCAGACATTTATTAGTTTTCTGTTCATAATAATTACAAACTAAGGCTTTGTATGGCTTACAATGGAAATCCAAATTGAAGGAAAATGTAAAATAAATCTACATTTGTTAAAATAGATTACAATAACTTGAAAAGTAACGGAAATAAGAGTCAGAGAGATTCATGAGCACTTTCATGTTGTTTGGGTTTGCTAACTAAAACACATCGCTCAAGCGTAATAAGGCAGTCATAGCAGTCATGTATTCTCATACCAAACTTCTCCTTGCACTTGATTCACATTCAAACTTACATCATAATAATATGTCACGGCTAAAAATAGAGAAAATGCCAACTTTACATTTTCAACGTAACAGAACAGTGTGTAAACGGCTTTGCCCGTAAAAAAAGTTAATACAAGGAACAAAAATGTAGCCCGTTACAAATTTAAAGAAAACAACAACAACAACAGCAGCAGCAGCAACAACAACAACAACAACAACAACAACAACAACAACAACAACAACAACAACAACCAAGCTTTGTCAAGGTGTGGGTTGCCTACAATAATAGGCCTAATATAATATAGGCCTTGCATGTATGATATTATTATTATTATTATTATTTCTTTTAAAATATTATGTTCAGATATGTTTGTAATGTAATTGTTGGCATAAACTGTGACAGGTTAAAAGCTAGTGCTTTTACGTGCACCCGCTTATGTATGCGTATGTGTGTGTGTGTGGGGGGGGGGGGGGGGCTCTGTGTGTTGTGTGTGTTTACAGGTACATATGCATTAAAGAGCCTCTGCTATGGATGCCGTGGTTCAAAGAATAATTAATTATACCTACAAACCACACTAATGAACAGTCACAAAGAACGCCAGACAGAATTAGTAGAAGACAGTGAAAATTAGGCCTATATCGGACCACAAGACTTAATCAGAGGTCAAATAAACTTTGAAAAACAAAAACAAAAACAACAAAAAAGACAAAAAAGAAAACACCAAAAACCCAGAAAAAACTATGACAGAGATGACTATTATAGCGGGTTTCGTTGATGCTTCAAGTGTGCATATTATATGCAAGGAAGTTATAAAAAGGTCCTTGATGATACGCCAGTCGTTAAGCTTAGTTGTGAAGGTACGAAAGGCTGGCTACTAAGCTACGAAAAATGAGGCGCAAAAGCTGTGATACATTCGTGATCCAGTTGCTGAGAGAAGAGGAATTCACACCAGCCGCCGACATATTCCTCTCTGCTGAGCTTTCCGTCAACAGGCACAACAAAGGACGCCATATATGGAATTATCTGATGACAACGAAAATAAATGACCAGACAGCAAGACAATTAATCAGAAGACAAAGAAACTCGAAAAAAACCCACAAAAAAAACCAAATGAAAATAACAACCACACAGCTATAACAGAAGTGACCAGCGAGCTTCGTTGACATTTCAAGTGTGCATGATACTACGTCAGTTTTCTTTTTTCCTTTTTAAAATTTTATTTTAAAAAAAAAAAAAAAAAAAAAAAAAAAAAAAATTAAATTAGAAAGTTACGAAAGCCTATTTAGGTTAGGAAAAATGAGGAGCAAAAGCTGTGATAAATTGGTGATCCAGTTGTTGAGAGAGGAGGAATTCACACCAGCCGCCGACATATTCCTATCTGCTGAGTTTTCCATCTCGGTCAGTGTCAAGACAGGAGAGGGCAAGCTGAGCGATTTCAGCCTGGTCTATTCCCAGGCATCTCATGAACACCTCTAGCTCTTGGGGAGAAATAAAGCCGTCACCATCTTTGTCGAACATGTCGAAGAAAACATTGACCTGGTGAGAATAGCAACATTGTATAGATCTAGTGAGTCTAACGCCCCTACCCTATCATTATCAACACTACGTGCGTGCACGCATGTGTTTTGCTGTTTTGTATGTGTGTGTGTGTGTGTGTGTGTGTATGTGTGTGTGTGTGTTTGTGTGTGTGTGTGTGTGTGGGTGTGTGTGTGTGTGTGTGTGTGTGTGTGTGTGTGTGTGTGTGTGTGTGTGTGTGTGAATGCATGTGTGTGTGCGCGCGTGTGTATGTTTAGGATGCCGCTACTGGCGTGTCTGAGCCCCTGCAATGTAGGCCGTGGGATTTTTAAAAAAACAACCTTTAGGAAACCCAAAACTTAAATTATGCAAATCACACGATACCCAACAGGCACAACAATGGACGCCATATGGAATTATCAGATGACAACGAAAGTAAATGATCAGACAGCAAGACTTAATTAATCAGAAGACAAAGAAACTCGAAAAAAACAAAAACAAACAACAACCATACAGCTACATTTATAACAGAAGTGACCAGCGAGTTTCGTTGACATTTCAAGTGTGCATGATACTGCGTTAGTTTTCTTTTTTCCTTTTTTGGGGGGCTTTTTTAAAATAAGAAAGTTACGAAAGTCTGTTTAGGTTAGGAAAAATGAGGTGCAAAAGCTGTGATAAATTGGTGATCCAGTTGTTGAGAGAGGAGGAATTCACACCAGCCGCCGACATATTCCTCTCTGCTGAGTTTTCCGTCTCGGTCAGTGTCAAGACAGGAGAGGGCGAGCTGAGCCATTTCAGCCTGGTCTGTTCCCAGGCATCTCATGAACACCTCTAGCTCTTGGGGAGAAATAAAGCCGTCGTCATCTTTGTCGAACATGTCGAAGAAGACATTGACCTGGTGGAAATGGTGACATGGTATAATATTTTTAACGCCTGTATATTATTAGACAGGCGCGCTGATAAAATGAGTTTCTTATCTCGCACTCCACAAATCGATATTGGCTAAAAATCGACCCTAGTGTTAAATTTGTAGATACTATATTGGTCCCTTATTCTTTTAGTGTACGGTAGCATGCCTTTTATCATTCCATACTTATAAATTGTAAAAACTTCACCCATAAGCGTAATGTATCTATTTCCATAGGGCTCGAATCCGAGAAATAACACATTTTGTCAGCACTCTTCACTTAAAAGAGGCAGGGCCTCCGTGTTTAACGTACGTTTCCGAAAGGACCGAACCAAATGGGAAATTTGTGTAAAGTCTCTTTCCCAAGGACACAATTACGTCGGACCGAGCGAAGGCTCGAACCCCCGAAGCCGCAATCTCACGATTACGGGTCCGGTAGTCTAACCACTTGGCCACCGACGCCACCTCAAAATTGACCTGGAGGATGAAGAGAAGTTGAAACGTTAAACTGCTCATGGAGTAATATTACTGATAATATGAAGTCTGGTCGGGGCGAAAAGCTGGACAGTTTTTATGAATGTAATACATGAACTGCGCAATTAATTTCCAAAAATATCTAAGTCCTCATATTCTCGTATTACACAGCAACATTGATGATGATTTTGTTGTTGTTGTTGTTGTTGATGATGATGATGATGATGATGATGATGATGATGATGATGATGATGATGATGAAATTTGGTCCACTTTCCTGATGATCAAGGTCAATCTCTGAGACTGCAACACTAAGATTCCACTTACCAACGTTTCAAGAATATTCCTCGCCAGCAAGGAATTGTAATTTATCAGCTGACCAAAGGCCCGTGAGAAATCGTCCTTTGGGATGTGATGGCCCGCCTCCAACTCCTCCCCAACTTTAATGATAAGCGGTACGTCCTCCCTCATCTCAGGATTTTGATCATCTTCACTGAACAATTGTGGTTTCAGCAGGGCTCTCTCCCAAGCTTTAACAAGTTGTCTTTTCAGCATCACCGCCTTTTCCTCCTCCATTCCGTGTTCCTGGTTAGGAAGACCAATTTAGGGATGAACGCTAGAACACAAGAAACACTGTCGAAAAGTTTGAGATGTCCACCCATTTTCGAGAAGAAAAGGGGCCTTCTTGTGGCCGTCTTACAATGTCTTATAGTATAAAACAAACAAACAAACAAACAAACAAATAAACAAACAAAAACAACAACAGCAAAACAAAACCACAATTAGGAAAGAAATGGAAGTGGTCGTTTTGTACGGGTGATCGTCTTAAATAGGTAGCAGTCAGAGTAGGTTCCACTATACAAGTAAGAAAAGAAAATTGCAGTATTGATGAAAAATCCTCAAACATCAATTATTTTCAGAGTAATTATTATAGCCTCATCGGGTGACAATAATTCGTGTCGCGACGCAGTAGAATCAGACGCTCGTCAGGTTTAGGGCGTATAAAGTTATTGATATCACCTCAAAGCTTGTCCATTTATCTTTTGTTTGATGAAAAGTATCCATTAATCTTGAATAGAATTTGAGATACTTGCAAGTGAAGGGGGCATAGGTCGCCGTATGAAGAAGAAGTAAAATTAACGAGAAAATGACCATCAAAGTTTGGTGCCTTCCAACCTTGGAGTAACCTTGGAAACTGCAAATTTACATTTTTTCGTGTGTGCGTTTCGTCAACGTTTTTCAGTTAAATTCACCCGTAAATATGATTCTGAATGGACATAAAAGATGCTGAAGGAACCAAAACAAACCGACAAATCACCTACACCACCACCACCACCACCAACAACAACAACAACAATAAATTCGATAAAAAATTGTCAAATGGGCAAATGCTTGCCAGTTTCTTCGTTATCATTATTTTGACAAGCGCATGATTTCACCACGATGCCACAATAGTTACAAGAAAAGTGCTGTATTGGAGCACCCTCACAGTAGAATTATTTTAGTCTTTCCGGGCAACAATGATTTGAACGTCTGCCACCCACCCCCTATCCC